TCTCTTCATATATTTAAGAGATGTCATTTGAGAGGGGTAGATTTATTCAGTTTAGCTCCAAGAAGCAGAAATGGGACCAATGGTAGAAGCTACTAAACGGAGGTTTGGCTCTAAATGAGAAAACTATCTTTAGAGTGCCTCTCCTAGTTTAGATGAAAAAAATTGCATCGAGTTCTAACCATGCTAGTCATCGGGAATTTTATTAATAACACATAGCTCCTGCTCTGGGATGGCTCATGGTTTGATGGGGGTAAGATGGAAAGAATTGGGCAGATGTGGTTTATGTCTTAGCAGTAGAGCCCACAGAGTACGTTGGGAGTGAGGGGTAAGAGAAATCACATACCTCCTAGGTTTTTAGCATTTTCCAAAACAAAGAAAATGGGTAGAGGCATGGACAGTGACTTATATTTAGATGCGTTAAGATGGTTGTAACTTCTTGACATCTCAGCAGGATAACAAGTAGGCAGCCATGTTGTGTGATGGAAATTCCATAGCTGTAGCCTTTACTGATGCACTCCAGAATGGTCTCTTCCAGCCTCCGAAAATGATTTGCTGAACAAACGCCTGAAGCTCGATTACGAAGAAATTACTCCCTGTCTTAAAGAAGTAACTACAGTGTGGGAAAAGATGCTTAGCACTCCAGGAAGATCCAAAATTAAGTTTGACATGGAAAAAATGCACTCGGCTGTTGGGCAAGGTAAGCTTCATTGGGAAGCATCTAGTCAACCTCACCCCTCATTGGCGATTGGGGAGAAGTATGGAATAAAAAAATTTTAAGTCTAATTTTAGTGGCCATCTCCCTTCTTTTCATCACATCTTAATCTATTTCCAGATACCTTACTTAATAGACATGAGTTTTACCACCTTTCATGGTTCCTCTTAATTAAAATTCCCAGAAGGCCAGGAAATAGGAAGACAGGAACACCCAAGGGCTTCATTACCTATAAACTGGATAATGATTTGATGATATACTTTGAATGATAAACTAGAAACGAATTGTATGGCTTGTCTCTGGGTATTCTAGGGAGACAACATAGTGTGTGGAGCACAGACTTCAGACAGGTGGTCTTGGGCTTAAATCTCAGCCCTGCCACTTACTTTGCCTCACCTTCTCTGAGCTCCAGTTTCCACAAGTGTAAGATGTGGGTGCTGACAGTGGATGTTGTGAGGAGCACACAACGTGTCTGCTATATTGTAAGGCCTTAGAGAGCGGGCAGGATTCACTGGTTTTTCAGTGAGATCTGCCATCCCAAACTGTTTCTGGTCCAAGAAGACATAAGTACAGAACTTGAGACTAAGTATTTGGAAATGTTTCCATGTTTCCAGCAATTTGACACAGTGATCCTAATTTAGAATGTGGACTTACATTTTGTCCATCTGTTTTTTTTTATTTTGTTTTTCTACTAATTTATTTTTACTGTATTGTATAAAAATATTAGCCTGTAGTAGATTGGAAAATTTTAAAAGAGAAAAAAAATTGATGCTTCACAGATAGTTTGAGAACCACTATTTTGGAGCTTACCTTCAGTCATTATTAGTGTTCTAGTCAAACAATGATTCCTTTAAAAATATATGTTAATGTCTTCTGGCAAGAGTAAAAGCCTGAGTCTAATCTGATTCTGCACTACTGAGTTCTTGTTGAGCTCATCATGAATAACCAGGTGTTTTGAATAAGGGTTTCAAATATGTATAGAATGGGTTTTTCCTGACTTTATCAGTTGTATAGTGGAAAAACATTGTATATGCATTTTTTTTTTTTTTTGAGATGGAGTTTCACTCTTGTTGCCCAGGCTGGAGTGCAATGGGGCGATCTTGGCTCACTGCAACCCCTGCCTGCCAGGTTCAAGCTATTCTCCTGCCTCAGCCTCCTGAGTAGCTGGGATTACAGGCGCCTGCCACCACGCCTGGCTAATTTTTTGTGTTTTTAGTAGAGATGGGTTTTCACCCTGTTGGCAAGGCTGGTCTCGAACTCCGGACCTCAGGTGATCCGCCCACCTCGGCCTCCCAAAGTACTGGGATTCCAGGTGTGAGCCACTGCGCCCGGCCTGCATATGCATTTTTCATCTCTAGGAGCATTAATGGAACAAAGCAGTGTTTTCTACTATAGTCTTTTAGGCATTTTTAACCCTTTTTGAATTTTGACATCAATTTTAGTAATCATGGGTAGCTATTGTTCGTTACACCTTTTCCCTTTCTATGGATAAGGAAACTTGGGCTTAGAGCAGTTGAGTAGTGGCTCAGGGCCACAGAGCTGGGTTCACACCACTGTACTGCACTGCCTCCTGTTGAACAGGATCTCCAGGTGCTTTTCTCAGAACATGCATGCAGTGGTGAAGACCGAAGCTCTGGATTGACAGCGGCTTTCAATGTGACTTTGGCAGGTACCCTCTTTCTGGGCTCTTGCCTCCTTGCTGATAGAATGAGAGACTTTCACCGAGCAGAGGATCTTGGAGCTCTCTTCCAGTTCTAGTGTTCCTTGCACCTGTACTTGTTTCTTGAGGTTTACCTTTACACCAAATGACCCCAAATTGCTGTTTTGAAAAGGGAGAAGCAGAGAAAAGAATGAGTCTGTTCTTCCCCCATTCACAGTTGCCGAGATGATCGCCTTCAGGTGTCTTTGCTTCTGCGAAAGGCAGATTGCCTGGGTCTGTGACAGCTATTCCAAATATTTGAGCTTCTTAGAAGCCTGGCACCTGGATATTTGTTTTTCACTGGGCATCTTATGTGGGGGCTAATAGAAATACTCTAGGAATCTGGACCCTGGATAGTGAAAGTTGGGCACAGATGATTGAGCATTCTGTCTACTGGAGTGAGCTAAGGCTGACCTGGAATTTCCTTATGTATTGCCTGACTTTGCCACATCACTTTTTACTGCAGAAGCTCTAACCATAAAGGGGGCTTTGTCAGTCAGGTGGTTTTTAACACATTAAGATTTAAGAACTCCAAACAAATGACGGCGGGCGATCTGTTTAGTGGCTAAGAATGAAAATGTGAATCTAAAAATGTGAGACTAAATTTGAATCACATCTTTGACCTTTGAAGTAGAGGCCAACTCAGCTCAGAGACCTTGAAAGAGAGGACAGTTGTTTGGATTAAGAGGCCCTTCCTCATAGTGACATAAAAGACCCTGAAATGATGGAAATAAAGGAATTTATAAAATTTTCCCAGTTAAAATTGGGTAAGGGGCCAGGATTAGGGTATCGATTTAGGAGAGGATAACATAATCCCATGACATTATAGATAATTCAGTTTAGTTCACGTCAGAATGATTTCTCTAAAGATAACTGGATAGAACCTTATAAGCTGGAATGTATTTTTTAGGAATGGGATTGCAGAGTGGCTGCCTGAGCTGCTGATAGGCAGGGCCAGATGCAAACTCTGCTGCCTTTGACCCGGCAATGCCATTTATAGAAACTTACTGTAGAAACTAATCAGCCAAAAGTGTACTGCAGTAAGAAGAATGCTTATTGTGGCATTGTTTAATAGTCAAAACAAAACGAAAAACCCAACCATGTGACTATCCCGTGTCACATTCCTTGAAAAAGACACCGTAAGTAGATCTGTATTTACTGATGTAAAACATGGCTGAGATAAGTTGTTAAATGAAGAGAGTACAGCATGGTCTCTGGTTCAGTTGATATTTCCATGTGTGTATACGTGGAAAAACACCCATGATGCAGGTATCCGGGTTATAGGCAGGATGACCATAGAGCCCAGTTCACCTGGCATAGCCCTCGTTTATGACTCGTGTCCTGGCAAAATTATTAATAGCCTTCCTCCTCTTCACTTTCAAAAGCTTCCTGCTTTGGATGGTAAATATATGCTCATTCTAGTTATGGGTAGTTTTTCACTTCTTTATACCTCTTGCATTTCAGAGGTTTTTTTGGTCCCACTTTTAAACAGTGCATATTATTTCTTAAGTGAGTAAGAAACTATTTTCATGGAGGATGGAGAAACGGCCTCCTGCCCACCCAGACCCTGCCTGCAAGCCCTAGGTGGGCTCGTTTCTCTTGGGTTAGGAGTGAGGGCAGCACCACGGTGGAGGGGGTGTTCCAGGCCATTCTTAGTAAAAACATTGGGTCCAACCTACATGATCCTGTGCTTTAAATCACAAAATCTAAGCGTACTCCTGAATACCACAATATCTGGTACTGTCCAGTGACACAGCCAATATTCTTTTCTTCCAAAAAATAAAGGTCTGATAAGACAATGGGAATGATTTAGTAATAGGAAATTGGACATTTCATAACTTGGGAAAATTTCCCAGTTTGAGAAAAAGTATTTTGTGAAAAAAAGCCCCACTATAAATCACTTATCATGCTGACTGTTTTCTAGCCCACATTTACTTCTCATCAGCGTTTGAAGTATTTGTGGGTAGGGTGTGCATGTGTGTGTATGGTCCCAGGATATATCTATGAGCTGGAATAGCAGAGAGGGAGACAAGAAATAGAATAATAGTAGAAAGCAGATATCAGGGTGTATTTTTTTCCTGTTCCTACCGTAACAAGTTACTACAAAAATGGTGACTAAAACAACAGAAGTTCTTCTCTCAGTGTTCTGGAGGCCATAGCTCCAAAACCATGCTGTCAGCCTGTCTGCACTTGGCCTCCTCCAGCTTCCTAGACTTGTGGCCACGGCACTCCAGCCTCTGCCTCCCTGGTCACATTGATTCCCTTTCTCATCTCCTCCTCTGCGTGTCTATTATAAGGATGCTTGTCACTGGATATAGGGCCCACCTGGATAATCCAGGATGCTTTCCTCCTCCCAACGTCCTTATTTAATTCTTTCTGCAAAGAAGGTAACATTTACAAGAAGCTCCAGGTATTAGGAAGTGAACACATCTTTTTTGAGGGGCCACCATTCAACTCAGTCTACAGGGTCACTATATTAATGCTGAGATAAAATTATAGAATGTATAGGATGTGGTCATGGTTGACAGGGGCCCTGTATTTCTTCTACAGGGCAACTTTAAAAAAAAACAACCTGATATTTGAAAGGGAAAGAAGAAAGTACTTACTACACAGTAAGTATTTCTAAGAGGTGGCCCAGTGAGACTTTTGAATCTGTTAATAAAATGATTACTATTTGGTTCAAATCCACAGATAGTTATTTTATCATTAATCGCAAGATAGGAACACAAAATATTTTTTCTCTAGTCCCCATTTGAGTAGCAGTCTTGTTTGACATTTCTGACATGGAGAACACCAAGAGAAAATGGCAGTCAGCATTCCTGGGCTGTCACTCACTGGCCTAATGACCTGGGGCAAGGGACCTGTTCTTACTGCCTCTCTTTTCTTTACCATGAGGATAATCATGTTTCCCTTAGAAGGTTATGAGGATGATATGACCAATATACGTAATGTGCGTGGAATGGTGATGGTGCATAGTGGCCTCGCAGTAAGTGCTATCTGCTGCTACCTTGCCAGAGCAGAAACTTCTCCCAAAGGTGGCCAGAGACGGAAACCAGAGAAACCGTCCTCCTGGGCAGGCTGTTTGAGTGGCAGGGCAGGGTACAAAGCGGCCACTTTTTTTCCTGGATGGAAAGAAAGATCAATGCCTAACTCGGAGGCTTCCTTTCTCCCAAGAGACGAGAAAGACTTGGCATTTTATTCTTCAGTCTTCTTGCTCTCCCCATTTCTACCTTTTTGGCCTTGTAATAGCTGAGTAATGAGCTAAAGAATTTTGGTTCAAAACTGTCACCTTTTAAAATTAGGTTTGCCCTAAATAACATCCTTGACTTTAAGAGAACTTTTTAAAGGTTTAGACATTTTCAATCACTGTGAGTATTCAAATTAATCACATATAAAGCATTAGGTAGAGGCTCGTGGACATTTTCTGCTTTTAGAGCTTTGTTGGATGCTCACATGGCAACATGTATGCAGTCACTTCCTACCCAGCCTCTGGGCCCTTCTTGCAGCTTATCTTGCAGAAAGAAGCCTCATCAGAATTCCAGAATCTCAGCTATGATTAGCTTACTCCACCTCAGCTCAGAAACATGCATGGTTCCCTGGGGCTACCAAACACGCAGGTTTCGTGCGGTCAATTTTGTCTCTGACAATAACCTTTCCAGCCTTCTTGCCAGCTGCTCTCTTCCACGTGCACGTTTGTGCCTGAGGCAAACTGAATCACTCTCGGTTCCTTCTCTCTGGTTGCACTTTTCTCTTCCTTTTCCCTCGTCCTTAAGGCTTGGTTCAAACTGATTGCTCAGTTCGAAATGAGCAAACAATTGCAAGGACAGAAAACCAAACACCGCATGTTCTCACTCATAGGTGGAAATTGAACAGTGAGAACACTTGGACACAGGGAAGGGAACGGCACACACTGGGGCCTGTCGTGGGGTCAGGGGAGGGGGAAGGGATAACAGGAGATATACCTAATGTAAATGACGAGTTAATGGGTGCAGCACACCAACATGGCACATGTATACATATGTAACAAACCTGCATGTTGTGCACATGTACCCTAGAACTTAAAGTATAATTTAAAAAAAAAAGCCAGCTTATCTTTCATCTGAGCTCTACTTCCTTTTGTTTCTCTCTTGTTTCTGAGATCACATCTTACACGACAGTTTTTCATACTTGGCCTTATTTCCCTAGAATGTCATTAATTGGCACTAGGTTGGAGCTCAGGTCATATTCTTTATTCCTTGCAGAGTCTGACAGGGTCAGAACATGATAACACATTTGAGAAGTGAGAAGAAAGGAGGGAGGGGCAGGGAAGTGAGGGGAGAATAGGGGGTGGAAGTAGGGGAAGAAGCAAATAGGACAAAGTTTTAGTTGCCTCCTTGCTGTTCCTATGCTGTTAATTAATAATGAAACTAGTGGCCAGACACGATGGCTTATCCCTGTAATCCCAGGACTTTGGAGGCTGAGGCAGGAGTATCCCTTGAGCACTCAGGAGTTTGAGACAAGCCTGGACAGCATAGTGAGACCCTGTCTCTACAAAAATAAAAAATTAGCCAGGCATGGTGGTGGGCACCTATGATTTCAGCTACTCGGGAGCTGAGGTGGGAGGATCATTCGAGCCCAGGTGGTTGAGGCTGCAGTGAGATGTGAGTGTGCCTCTGCACTCCAGCTTGGATGACAAAACCAGACTCTGTCTCAAAAAAAAAAAAAAAAAGGGAACGTGAATTTGGATAAATGGAACATGAAACACAATTCATTTTTATTATTAAGTTGTATTCTGTGCATAAATTATCTCCATATCTTCTCCCCCTTTTAAAGGTGTGCCACGTCATCACCGAGGTGAAATCTGGAAATTTCTAGCTGAGCAATTCCACCTTAAACACCAGTTTCCCAGCAAACAGCAGCCAAAGGATGTGCCATACAAAGAACTCTTAAAGCAGTTGACTTCCCAGCAGCATGCAATTCTTATTGACCTTGGTAAGTCTGTGCCATCAATTGGAGATGACAATGGAAGTTTCACTCACATGAAAAATCTGAAGAGAGTGTCTAAGTTATTTATTGACCTGCCTTTAGGTTTAGCAATCAAAATTTACTACTGAGACTTTTAATTTAAAAAGCCCTAGGGTAATCACAAATGTCGTCTTCAAGCATATAAAAATCTCTGTATTTTCACTGGGTAGCTTGTTAACTTTGCTTGGCGTGAAGGGAGGGTGTTCATTAAAGCTGCAGTCGTAATTGTGGCTCAGTTCAGTAACTCAAATATTGATAGGAGTTTTTATAGTCAACTGAAGGAACATCCTGGAAAACGTATGGATGTTCAGAACCGAGGCTTGGTTTAATTACAGGAGCCACTCCCTCGTTTTTACTACTTACAAACAGAATTCATCAGAAAAATCGTAGAAAGCAGTTTGTGTGTGTGCCTTAGATGATTTTATTTTGGAAACTGGGTGGCACCTTGTCTCTTGAATAATTTATAAAATATGAAGATGGGAACAATGTACAATCAGCCCTCCATATCTATGGGTTCTGAATTTGGGGACTCAACCAACCTCAGATGGAAAGTATTTGGGAAGAAAAATCAATGAAAACTAAACAATAATATAGATTTTAAAATATAGTAACTGTCTATGTAGGATTTACGTTGTATTAGGTGTTATAAGTAATCTAGAGATGATTTAAAGTATGTGGGAGGATGTGGCCGGGCGCGGCGACTCACACCTATAATCCCAGCACTTTGGGAGGCCGAGGCAGGTGGATCACGAGGTCAGGAGAGCGAGAGCATCCTGGCTAACACGGTGAAACCCTGTCTCTACTAAAAATACAAAAAAATTAGCCAGGCATGGTGGCAGGCACCTGTGGTCCCAGCTATTCGGGAGCCTGAGGCAGGAGAATGGCATGAACCCGGGAGGCGGAGCTTGCAGTGAGCCAAGATCGTGCCACTGCACTCCAGCCTGGGTGACAGAGCAAGACTCCATCTCAAAAAAAAAAAAAAAGTGTATGGGAGGATGTGCACAGGTTATATGCAAACATGACACCATCTTATAGAAGGGCCTTGAGCACCGTGGATTTTCGTATCTGTGGGGACTCCTACAACCTATCCCCCGTGGATGCCAAGGGATGACTGTATTGGATAGATCTGCAGTTGCCACTGTGAAGAACTTGTTGAACTGGCGTGTGATTATGATGCACAGAGAGCCCTCCTGACTTGTCAGTGGCCATGCACAGGGTCAGGTGGCAATGCGGTCCTGTTTGCCTGCTACCTGTCACCCAGGCTGCTGTTTCTACTGGTGGTGAGCTGGCTCGATGTGGTGGGAGTTTGGCCCTGCTGCTTTTAGAGCATGTGGCCCTGCTTCCAGAATACCTGTTCTGGTTGCAGCTGCTGCTGCTGAAGGCTCCACAGAGCACTCAGTGCTTTGGGGCCCTGCAGTGGCTGCATCAGGCAGTATGAAGTCCTTTCCTCTCAAGCCACATAGCTAGCCTTAAATGTTAACTTCATAACCCTTAAGGTTATTCTTTAGCTTAAATGTCATCTCTGAGAAACTGTCCCTGACTGTGGTCTCCTCTCCCACCTCAAGACTGGATGAGGTGTCCTGCTAAGCCCCCATAGCACCCCACACTCTCCCCATGGTGCGTATCACATTTCTCATCATCACCGTTATCTGCTTATTATCATCACTGCTGGTGCCTAACTTCACCTTGTTGAATGTTGTGCAAAGGGACTTAAACTCCTTTCTTTAATCCTTACAACATGATCAGGTATATGTTGTTCTGTTTCTCTTTAGAGTTGAGAAAATAAAAACAGAGAGGTTATGTAACTTGCTGAAAGTGACACAGCCAATTTGCCGCTAATCAGTATGACTTTGGAAACTGCACTTTTTTTCAACTTTTATTTTAGATTCCAGGAGTGTGTGTGCAGGTTTCTTACAAAGGTGTATTGTATGATGCTTAGGATTGGAGTATGATTGAACTTGTCACCCAGGAACCAAGCCTATATAGTACCCAACAGGTAGTTTTTCAACCCTTGCCCCGCTCCCTTCCTCTCCGTCTAGGAATCCCTGGTGTCTGTTCTCATCTTTATGTCCATGTGGACCCGGTGTTCAGCTCTCACGTCTAAGTGAGAACATGTGATGCTTGCTTTCTGTTTCTGCATTAGTTTGCTTAGGATAATGGCCTCCAGCTGCATCCATGTTCCTTGCTGCAAAGGACGTGGTTTTGTCCCTTTTTATGGCTGCAGAGTACTCCATGGTGTCTATCACATTTTCTTTGTCCAGTTCACTGTTGATGGGCACCTGGGTTGATTCCATGTCTTTGCAATTGTGAATAGTGCTGTCATGAACGCGTGAGTACATGTATCTTTTTGGTAGGATGATTTATTTTGCTTTGAGTATATACTCAGTAATGGTATTGAAGGGGTCGAATGGTAATTCAACTCTTAGCGGAACCTATTCTTCTTACTCCACCTCCCCGACCTGTCCTTAGTATACAGCAGTGACTTTTTACTGCCTTTCTCCCTTGTAGGATGCAGCCCTCTGTGAACTGGGCTGGGGCTGTTTGGCCATTATACTCTCGGCTCCTAGAACAGTGGCTGTCACAGAGCAGATGTTCAAAGAATCTGTTTGAGATTCAGAGTATGAGACACTGCACTAGCCCTGCCATCTCATGGGCCCTCACAACAGCCCTGGGAAGGTGGCCTGCACCCTCTCTAAGAAATGAAGAGACTGAGGTCACATGTTGACCATGGTCACAAAGTCAACCGAGGGGAGGTGGCAGGAACTGAACCCACTGTCACTGTGTTTCCCTGGGACCCTCTGAGCCCAGGAGCCCCGTGTTGCTGTGCAATGGCTGGCCAAGGCAATGGCTTGGTGGAGCTGGGGCCCATTTGGCCCACTGACCCTGATGAAAGCAGTTTTGTGAATTAGCAGTAGCTGCATTTGCTGACATGGTGAGTAACAGGAAATGCCATCATGTTCCTATCATGTGAAACAAAGTGAGAAATAGGTTCAGGGTAGGAGGCTGAAAGGGAGGGAGTGCAGACAGCCCTGCTCCCCACACTTGCTCACAGGCTGGGAGGAGGAACGGGAAGGTGTTTCCCCTCCTGGATTCAGTCGCCTTCTTCTCTTCATTCCCCTGCAGTATCCCGTCATTCTTCCACGCGCACAATCAGCCCCTGCTTCTTGTTGCTCAGATGTCGTCACTTTTCTGCAGAAGGAAAAGAAGAGTCCAGATCAGCACAAGGGCCTCGGCATGACTGTGCGCTCCCAGGGCACTGTGTGTGCCTGAGCACCACCACGGTCTCCCCTGCAGGGCTCAGGCAGCCTTCCCCGAGCTGGCGTGAGGTCCGTGGGAGCCCAGGATTTGGCCTTTCCTGTCCACTGGCAGGGCTGGCTGCATTCAAGTCCTCTCCATCCCTGCCTCTCCCCCACCCTCTCCCCTCTCCCTCTGCTGCCCCTGTCCCTGACAGTGCTGACCCCCTGTCTCTTCCCCACTCTTTCCCATCCTCGCCTGGCCTCCAGTTTGGATGCCATCCACATACTTCCCGAGGGCCTGAGAGGAACTCCGTGTGCGGCAATACATTTCCCAGGTCACCTCTGTGTGTCTCTGCAGGCTGTTTCCAGGGACCCCCCGGGTTCAGTCTCCTCTCCCCACTGGAACAGAGAAACTGGGGTTGGCCCAGACCCGGCAGTGGAGTCCCAGGTGCCCTCCCTGCCCAGCTGACTCCACCCGAGGCCTGCCTCAGAAGCTTCTCCAGACTCTACCCGTTACCTCCGCCTCTCCTCTCACCCAAAGTTGCGCTGTGGCCAAGTCAGTTGTTTAGTCTATACTTTCTGTTTAGTCTACACCATGGCTACCACAAGGCCCAGTGAAGGTGTGTAGTATAGAGCAAAATCAAATCTGTATTTCAGTTTTCCTTAAAAAGTGACTTTCGTATTCTGGCCAGAAGAACAGAATGGTTGGTTGGATATATTTTGAATTTTCGTGGGTTTTTGTTTTCCTGCCTCTTGCTATACTTTCTGAAATTGGCTTTTAGTCTAAACAGGTTTTTTGTTTTGTTTTGGTTTGGTTTGGTTTTTTTGACAATGTGTTTTCCTCCAAAGAGTAAGAATAATAGGCCTCATGGCTGGGAAGCGTTCCATAGTGTGTGAAATATTTTCTCAACCTTTGTCAGATCTCATCTTTACACACCCTGTGTGAAATTGGGCACGTGCTGTTATTTCCAGCTTACAGGGGATGAATGAGCCCTCGAGAGCTTGAGTTTTCTGTCCACGAGTTACTTCGTGACTGAGCCCTAGAGAGCTTGAGTTCTCTGCCCACACTGCGAGTGACTCAGTGCCAGAAAGTTCTGGAACCCAGGTCTCCTCAGTCTCCATACCACGTCCCTTCTAGGGCACCATGCTGCTTCTGTGTTTCTTGGCTCTGCCCACTCCATCCCAACACAACTCTCCCCACCCCTGCTTTGGTGGAATCCTGTTCCTTTGGGGTAGATCACACCAGCCAGAGGCAGCTGCTCTCAGCTTTACTCATCACATTATTCTTGAAGCCTTGGGTCAAGCGCCTGCCCCACCCATCTGCATCCATTTGTTCAGCCCTTAGACAATTGCCACTTTTTTCTTCTCTAATTCTCTGACTCCCTATCCTGGGTAGACAACACGGATTGCCCAGCATCCTGCCTTCTGTCTGGGACTCGCACTGTCATCCTGACCACACTGGGGGCTGACAGTGACACTGGGAAATTCCTGGGGGACCCCCTTCAGGCTTCACATCATCTGCTCCCTCCCTAGCATCCCAGCCTAGAACACTTTCCAGCCATCAGCTGCATTCCCCAGTGAGGCGTGCAGCCTCTCCCATAATGGGAGGGCTTCAGCCGAAAGAACACTAACAGGCGCAGAAACCCAGGAGCTCCATTAGATCAGAAAGCAGAAGCAAGAATGCACCTAATCTCCCCCACATCAATGGCTGTAGTTTTATTAATCTGCATA